GTCATACACCAACATCGGTACAGTGTGTTACAATTTGAAAGACTATTCGAAAGCACTATCATATTATGAACGTGCTCTGGACGTATGGGAAAGTTCATTACCTCCAACCCATCCTTATATAAAAAGTGTGAAAAACGGTATTCAAAATTGTGAAAAGAATTTATAAAGAATAATCGATAAATAAAAGAATCTTTTGCTTATTTATTTTTTAATTAACTCTAGTTTGTAATGATTCGCGTACGCGTACAGAGAGCAACTTTGTAAATAACAAAAACGTAATGGACAAAGGCGACCGATAAAGTGATACATATATAATATCAAGGTTCCAAATGGCAAGTGTAAAAAGCAGAAGAAAAATGTGCAAAATACTTGCAGTATTTGAAATACACGCTGGTTTACACTTTGCTTTTAAGCCATAAATTGATTTCTTTTCTGTTTAAATTTAAATGGATATTGGTACTAATATTGACGAATAATAAAAGAAATATTCCTATTCATGTCAGATCATATAATTGTGTATTTAGTATTATTTAATGTGCATTTGTTTTACACTCTTCATTAGCAATAAATATGATTATTCATTCAATTAGTACATATATTCATCTTATTGGAATTTTAACAACACTTCTATTAATTAATAAAATTGAAGAAAATTAATCTTGGTGTTTTGTTTATTTGTATAAATTTATTTAATAAAAAAGATCAAATGAATATATTCGTTCAGTGTTGATTATTCTCTTGGGAAAAAAGAAGTGAAAATGAGAGACATCATGTTGACATTGATATGTGAGAATTTTGCGAAATCAATTCAAGCAAAGACAATTAATCGACTGTAACACGGATTGAATGACTTAATCGTTAATCAGCTATGAAAAATACACTAGAATATCGTACTTATGATCGATCTAGATTCTTTCGTTCTTCGTCTTCTTTTATAGAAAAGAAAAAGAAATAAATCACATGGACGACATATCTATTAAATTGTTTAATTTTCTTTGCTTTTGTAAAATGAATATGCTTAATAATGTAATAAATTTACAACAATTCTCTGTCTAATTATATGAATGACAAACAAAATACAAAAATATAAAATCGTATGTGAAGATTTAAAATTTCAGTTAATTAGCTGAGAAAGAATACAAAGTAAAGATGTTACTAGAAGTAAATAGACCGAGAAAGGAATAATTCTAGTCGTCTGAACAGATCATAAAGAGAAAATAGTTTCGTCTGTTTCTTTATCATACTTTACATTCATTTGAATTGAACTGCACGTCAATAAAGCATCAAAATATCTAAAATATGATCATGCTGAGACGGATTTCACACGTGTATGTATAATATATAATTATTTAATTGTACATTTATAATGAATATTCTTTTTAGCTTAGTGTTATTGCTCTTAGTGAACTTGTCTGTCAATGCTCAAAATGATTCTAGTACAGTTTCAGATCCAGTCATTGTTGAAAATACGACAGAAAAAGTTATTGAAACAACACTTCCGATTACAATTTCAACTGTTCCATCTGATCTTGCGACTACAACAGGTATGAATAAATTGTTCTTTGATATGTTATATATTCAAGTTTGTTTATCTTATTTATAGCAACGAATGTACATGATTCATCAACAGCTAATGCTACGATATCAGATACAACTCAATCTTCAAAGATTGAATCTAGGAATAGCACCAGCACAAATCTTCCAGAATCATCCGTGAACAACAAATCAATCATCAATGGCAGTCAATCTCATGGAAACGATGCTCAGATTTCACATCCAGATAAATCTAGTTGGGCTCTTACTGAACCTTCAAAGCGTAAGTCAAGTAAAAATAAAAGTTTTCACATACATATATATATGGATGAATTGCAATTTTATTGTACCGTTTGGGGAAAAAAAACGAACGAAAAAAGTCTTTGATTTGAAAGCTGATAATAAGTGTTTTTAGTAGTACTATATGAGAAGACAAAAAAATATACAGTTTCTCGACTACCACTTTAAGTATTGCTCTGATATATGAAAATCATTGAAAAACCTATAGAAAATGCTTCCATCCTACTGTATATCTGTTCTATTAAAAAATTACTTAAATACGGGAGTTTTACAGAATGCGTTGAAAATACTTCCGCTTACATATAGAAATGACTTTCCTTAAATTATTCGAATGTGACTGAGAGTCTAATTCAATGAAGCTAAATCATACTACTCTGATAGTATGTTATTTGCTATATACAATCATTGGTTTTTTGTGTATGAAATCTGAGAAATAAACTAGACGGTATTTGTACAAGTTTTGATAGTTAATGAAACGGGAACTCCGGTAACTTGTTATATATATGAAAATTTAATCTGACAGTTTTTCAAAAATCTCTTGTGACATTTAGTGTGACAACTACATTTTCAGATTTTATTTGATATTCTTGTCTTTAGAAGAATAAGTAAAACCTTTTCATTGTCCTTAGCGATTTCATTCTTCACTGATAACCTTTCATTTAAAACGTGTCTGACAGATTTTGAATACTTTGTTAGATCGGTAAAGCGTTTTTAAATCTCTTGTGACACTATACTGATTTTAGTCGGTACAACTAGTATTTGGAAAAAAATATAACATAAACTGCGATGAAAGAACCAATTAGTCTTATATCCATGATGTATATACTATACACCAGAAATCAGTCAATTTAATCTTGTGAATCGAGTATCTCGCGATCGGCCGACGATAATTTCGTGATTTTTTGTGTAGTAGTGAGTATCAACTACCAGAGCATACTCAGAAAATTTCATAAAGATTGACCAGCAGGAACTGGGTTTATTAAAGTTTTACATATGGAATCACGAACGGTACAATAAAGTTGCAATTCATCCACATACAGTTACATTTACTACACCAACAAATCCAATAGATGCTACTCCATCGCAACCTACTGTATCACCATCAAGTTCTGGTAAGAACTTTTTTTCATATGATATACGATAATATATTGTTCTATTTCAATTTTTAGTATCATCATCTCCATCGGTTGTATGTATGACAACAGTTAATCCATTTGTCTTCGATTCTCTCGATGCTACTTTATGTTCACATTTAATACTTGTTCAAACAGATTCAACAGATTCAACAGACATATTTCAATCAGCTCTTTCATCTGCTATTCGTATGATTTCTTCGATAAAATCTATTTCAATGATCTTTTTTTCGTATTTAGTTGAACAATTAAATGTCATGAGAACAAAGAATCCACAATTAAAAATATTCTATTCAATTCTTGGTCAATGGAAATCAAAACATTTAGATTTAATTCGTGATGATAAACAACGAGCTAAATTTAATAAAAATATACAAAAATATCTCATTGTTAATGGTTTAGATGGGTTTGGTTAGTTAGAAACAAAAAAAAGAAAGAAAAGTATATATTTACAATTCTTTTATTTGAATAGATATCGATTGGAATATACCAGTTGGCCAAACATCAGCATTAACTGATAAAAATTATTTATCGACTTGGTTAACAGTATGTCAAAACAATAATAATAATAATAATCTTTTAAAAACAATTTATTATAGGAATTACACCAAGCATTCAGTCCTAATCAACTTTCATTATCAATTGGTGTTAGTGGAGATAAAGCTATTCTTGATAGTAGTTATGATTTTGATCAAATATCTAAGTAAATTATCTAACAAAATATTTTTCTATAAAACTAAAATTAATAATAATTTTATTTAAGTACGGTTGATTTTATTCGATTAATGGCTTTTGATTGGCCATCAAAAGATGTAACTACTTTGATCAATCCACTTTATCCTATGAAAAGTCAACGAGATGATGATAAATTTAACAACATTGTAAAAACTTCTTTTTTTTTATGTATGATTGTTATATGATAAACTTGAATATTATCATTATAGAATTGGATTGTAAGTTATGTAAT